ACCAATGCCCAGGGGCCAGATTCACGAAGCAGTTACGCAAGTACTTACGAACGTGTACACTTTCCTCAATTTTTGACGGCTTTGGTTTAATATATTAAACAGTTTACAAGCATAAAAACTTCCCAAATCAACTGTTGTATTGTTATAAACAGCCCCCTGGTACTTCGGAGCTCATTAACTGTTTAATAATTGTAAACAAAGCCGCCAAAGATTGAGAAAAGATGTACAGGTTCGTAAGTGCTTGCGTAACTGCTTCGTGAATCTGACCCTAGGTCCTCTAGTTGGGGCCCTTGATGAATATTGTGTAGTGTGTCATGTTGTGTACTGGACCTGAACTGTCCTGACACTCCTATCATCACCTTCCTCGGTAAAGCCACTCCACGATACGTCCTCGAGTTCTAGCCAGAACACGAGTTCTGCCTAGAACACTAGTTCTTATGTCCTAGACACCACACCTCGTGTCTGACTAATGCATGTGTGTACAAGGAGGGGGTACCCGGCTGCGCCCTTCATCCCCCTTCTTCATTCATCTTCACTTCCAGTGCCCCCTTTCTCATATTTGTTTTCCTGTCTCGCCTCTTTTCCTATCTTCCCAGTATTACCTTCACCGCCTTCCATCCTAACTAACATGTAATGTGGCAGATGCTGTAAATCGTGGTGAAGATGGATTTTTTTTTATTTAATGAGATTGGAAATCGTCATTTAATGCAAAGAAGGGTATGTGGGGCTCGACCCCGACCACCCAATATACTGTCCGTAACACAGACCATTCACCCCTAGCGTCTGGCCACCTACTTTGGACGGACGGACAGACAGACAGACAGCATCTCATTCTCTTATATAGACATTCCACGATTCTCTGCCATAATTTCAACCTGTTCATGAGGAGAAAATACGCTTAAGGGAATGGATTGAGAACGACTACATAATTAGTGTTATTATCTACTCTTTACTCATGGGTTAAGTTAGGTTAAGGTTACTTTAGGTTAAGTTTGTGTTAGGTTAGCTTAGGTTTCATTATGCTTGGTTACTTTAATATGGTGTATTATTGACGGTAATGTGAAATATGGAATTTGAAAACTATTTGAGTGTATACAAGGATCCCATTTACAGAAAACCAAATTCTTAAAAGAAAGCGTTTTCAGCATGTACGTTTATATTTTAAACCAACAATTTATAATACAATAAAATTGTAACCTAAGAATAATTTCTAGTTAGGACAAAAGTTCACTCGCCAGTTTACATGTAGACTATTGCTGGAACCGTAATATGCTTTCACACCACCACAAATATCTAGAAAATTATCCAGGTGGTTGAGTGGTGTGGTTACTCGACGGTAGTGGATTTGCTCTGAGGACCGGCGCCATTATTTAGCGTCTGGTTATGTAATGTTCTGACCAAACTTAAGACTACCTGCATGTTAAGATGTGATCTAATTCTCTATCATCATAAGCAAATTATACTACCACGTACCACCAAGCAATTAACACATTATTATTATTATTGGAATTATTATTATTATTATTATTATTATTATTATTATTATTATTATTATTATTATTATCAGTCATTTTTGTGTTATTCGTGTCGTTAATGCGCCGTGTTCTCCAGTACTCCTCCAGCGGCCTGGGCATTGCGGACATTTCTTGCTGTTTGTGAACTATAATTTGAAAAGTTTTATACGA